CATTCAAGCTCTAGAAGTGCCTGCTTCACGCTTTTCGCGACATGCGGTCGAGCGTTATCATGCAACGAAATGACTTTGCGTCGATTGTTGGCTACGGATGATCTTTTTTGCATCAATTCGTCACTCAATCGGTATAATTGCTATTTGTAGCGATCAGCTGTAACGGTTTCATTTGGATCTAAGAGTTCGTAATACAGCACACCTTTCTAGTCCTACCAAACGCACAGCAAGGTTTTATGCCCGTGAATATTCCTCTTCGGTGTTGAAGTGGATGGTTGGCCGGGGTTCACCCATGATTTTTTCCGCTTGGGATTATCAAAATAAATCCATTTTTCATCACGATGCGCCACAAAAAACTCTTTTTTCTTAGCCTGGCAAGCAAAGAAGTCGCAATAGTCAAACGATTCGAAATGGCACTTTCTGACAACTCATGTGGTAGCCATCTCCCTTCCTTATGGATCTTTCCCATGGCATGCAAGCGTTTTGAGACGACCTTTGGAGTAACATTTAACTGTTCCGACAACTCTAAAAGCGTTTGAGCTGGATTCTGATCAAGCAATTCTTGCAACTCGACATTTTCAAATTTTTTCGGCTGTCCTGGACGTTCTTTGTCTCTCATATCAAAATCACCGTTTCGGAAGCGTTCAAACCAAACTCTACATATTCTTTCTGATGGAATTTCATCACCATACACTTCCGATAATAAGCGATACGCTTCAGCTACGGTTTTCTTGAGGTCGAAGTAGTGAAGAAGCACATGTCGGAAAAACAGCTTATCGCGATTCATTTTCAATCGATTGGAAAATCTCTTTGGCGTCGAGAAATCTAACCTGTGAGGATTGAATCACTTTCAGCGATGTCTAAACTACAAAAGACATATGACATCATCGTCGAAACTCGCCAGCGTTGGAGCCAGCACCCTTTAGTAGCGAGCGCCAAGAATTAAGTTCAATACCTAATATATAATACAATTATATATTACGACACAAGATTTTACAAATTTTGCAGCATTGTTACAGAGACATACAAAATATTTTTGGTTTTTGAGTAATAAACTGCTGTCACACGTGGAAACATACGTCAATTACACGTTATATGATTGTTAATTATTTCCATTAATATAGGAATTATAGTGTTCGCTGAAACATTTGTTGTCACCGCCGCGCAACAAGATTTTTCAAACTTTACAAAGTTTGTAATCAACTCTCATAATCAATAAGCAATAATTATATTCGGACTCTCAAATTTTAAACATAAAAGTATGACTGAAGTAATCTAGTGAGAGTCTAGCAACGATGAACGGCGCAATGTTAGATGAAAACCATACTCAGATGTTATATTAAAGTTTTCTGTATTTGTACGTTTCGATCACACTTGTAACATTATTGCTGGATGACTCCAAAGAGAGTCGAAACGTACAAACACAGAAGACTTTAATATAACATCTGAGTATGGTTTTCACCTAACATTGCGCCGTTCATCGTTGCTAGACTTTCACTAACCTACTTTAGACAACTCTCATAATTTTTTGGAATATTTGGATTTAAAAAATTCTTTGAGTATTGCAAAGAAAATGAAATAGAATGCGTCAGGGTTGTTAAAAAAACATGATTTTTTTATTTTAAATAAAAAACATTGTTTTTTTTATTTGGCACAATGTTTTCTGTTTTATTTTGTGTTTTTTTGAGCAACAAAAAAAACATGTTTTAAACAAGAAAAAAACATGTTTTGTTTTGTTTAAAATGTTTTTTTTTGTTGCTTAAACAAGTAAAAATTATTGTGTGAATATTTGAATCTTTCGTCATTAAGAATAATAAATAACTGAAATTGAAAGAATATTAGTTATTTTTATTTATTATTTTTTAAAATTTATTTTACTATTAACATATGTTTCTTGTTGTGTGAGCGCTTTTCCAAAGTGTACGCGAATTCATTATCGATTTTATTGATTCTGCGGGTAAATCGGGCTGATAAATCAGGAATACTGCATGACCTTTCGAATCTAAATAT